TATATATATATATATTCCACACAACAGACAGTGTGCGTGTGTGTGTGTGTGGATATATTAACTAAATAAGTACACCATGTATTACCCAGTGTAATAAACACTTGTGCATTGTTTGCTGTTGTAGATGAACAGATGCAGAGATATATTCATCAATTAAAACGGATTCCTCATTTTTCTGGACTGAATAAAACGTGCATTGAATTTAATGAAATGCAAACGTGAGACGTCATTTATCTTTGACCCATCAAAATGAATGCGGTCATTTATTTGCAGAATCAAAGTTTAACATCAAACATTTACATTAATTTGGCAAAATATGAAAATAACAACATAATCAATCAATCAGGAAAACCATACGGCCATGATTTTCCGTTGCTTCACCACAGACATTTATGAAAACTGTACAGTTATGATCAATTATCCACACGGCGGTGGATGAGCACTTTACACAGACATTTCTAAAATATCTGGAAGGATTTCTACTTGAAAGAAGAATTTAAAGATGGGAATGAAGTTTAAAGGGAGTAAAAGATGGTATGTGAGGGGAAGTGTTCACCAGAACCGACACTCTCCATCAGAACCCAGCTTTCCTTGGTACGCTTGGTAGGGAACTTGACTCATTACCTTTCTGAAGATTAATCAGCAGATATGGAGGTCCAGTTAACGCTACCTGTCCAGCGTCTCCATAGGATGGCTGTGACTCGTCCGAAGTAGTGACGAGATTCCGTCCGACACCAGCTCACATCAGCAAGACTTCACATGAGTGGGGTCCTTCAGAAGTTCCACTCAGAGGTGGAGGATATTATAATCCAACTCGGAGGAGCCTTATCATGCTGGACTTCTGTTCTCCCAAACGACTTCTCAGCGCCTCACCGAACTCCTCAGAAGCTTCATCGAACTGAACTTCTCAGCGCAGAACCGAACTGGGAGAACTAGGAAGTACCGGCATTTTAAAGAGCTCTATTTCCGGTATATTTGAGCGTCCCTTATTGGGTAATATCAACCAGACAGGGGTGTGTTTTGTGATGTCAGAGGTTACTAGAAGTCAGAAAAGAGCAAGAATTGTTATGGAACAGATTAAACTGTTCTCAGAGACAGAGAGAGTTTGTTTTGGCGAGTTTTAGAAACAGGTGCCAACTCCGTTGACGTCTGAGAGGATGTAAACAAGACAGTTGTTCCAACACATGTCTGCTTCGACTCCTGACCTTGGAAAACGCACACTTGCTCATTCACAGACAGAAATCAGAAAATGCATAAAAATCTGTAACAGACCTTAACATGAATTCTAACTCTGCATAAGCATTCAAAATCATTACACTGTTTCACAGTTAAAAAAATTGATTAGTTCACTGCAACATCTAAAATGGTTTGAACTAAGACACTTTGATTATCAACATTTGTAAAATAGTAATGATAATAAAAAGAGAGTATTCTTCCACTTGATTTTCAAGAAAGAGAGTCTCAGGATGGGTGAACCTGTATTTCTGGATTCAAATCAATGAAATAACAGTTTCTGTCCCAGAAGGTTCTTAAGGTCAAGGGATTTGACCTTAGGCTTAGTTTTGACATCAGGTTAAGTTCACTACACTGTCAACATATCACTTTTCACAAACAGACATTTCAATTTTATCCTTCACTAATAAAATAATCTTTTCGATTACATGAAATATGTAGATCAGTAGATTCAGGCTATTCACATATTAAACAGTATTTATCCTGCTTTTTCTTTCTGTATCCTTCCCCAGCCTTGTGTCTTAATACAAAACTGTCTCGGAGGTCGTTTGACTTCCTGCTTGGTGTTTGTGCTCTGACATGCTCTGTCATCTGTGGGACCTTCTATAGACGAGTGTGTGTCTTTCCAAATCAAGTCCAGTTAATTGAATTTACCGCAGGTGGACTCCATGTAAGTTGTAGAAACATCTTAAGGATGATCAGTGGAAACAGGATGCGTCTGAGCTCCGTTTAGAGCTTCATGGCAAAGGCTGTGAATACTTACATAAATGTGATTTGTTAGTTTTCTATCTTTAATAAATTTGCAAAAATCTCAAAAAATATTTTTTCACATAGTCGTAATGGGGTATTGTGTGTAAAGTTTTGAAGAAAGAGAAATTTAAACAATTTGAAACAAGGCTGTTACAACAAAATGTGGAAAAAGTAGATGCACGTTCAGTCCGCAGTAACAATAAAAAGAAGTATAAATCTACATTCTGCCTATAAAAACAGTGCACGCTTCTTACAAATTCATGAACTAAATAAAATTAAAAGAGATGTAAATGAATACCAAACAGGGACTAAACTGGTAAAGAGAACTTTAAAACAACAAAACCAAAAAAATTGTAAACTAATTTTCTGAATTTACAAGAATTTTTCAAAGATGACGTTTTATAAACTGGGAGATTATTTGAGGCTTTTCAACTAAAACTGTAACAAATGATTTTGATCACAAGAAGTAAAGGTCAGATTGACAACAAACAGAAGGAAGCAGCTGACATTTTGTTTAGTCAAAACACAACACACCCTATTTCTGATGTCTCATGCAAAGTGTCTGTTCTCTTTTTTTAAATTCACTTTAGAACAAGTCAAAGAGCAGCGGACGGACATTTTAGTGAATTTCTGTAAACATAATGGCTGAAGCCGCTGATTTTTTAAACCCAGGTAAGTGTTTTTTTAATCATCTTTTCATACATTTTCTAAATAGTAAAATCAACTAAGTGGGCTCAGTGGTTAGCACTGTTGCCTCACAGAAAGAAGGTCCTGGGTTCAATCCCCGGTTGGACCTGGGGGTCCAAGTCTCTCGTCTTAGTGCTCTTCTCTGTGATGAGTTGGGTGTGAATGGGCCTGGACAAAGACAAATATTAACAGTTTAGTCATTTATTAAAGGTCAATGGTCTGCACATGAAAATATTATCAATCCATTATCTTTACATGATTTTTCCTTTTTGGGTCACCGGGGTCACTGGTGCCCATATCCAGCTACGATTGTGGGTGTGGCGGGGTACACCCTGAGCAGGTCGCAAGTCCATGAAAACATATGTGAAATAAAAGTAAAAACAGCAGAGATCAGAGTTGTGTTTGTACAAACACCATCGATTTCTACATCTTTTTTAAAAAGCATCAGATTCATAATCTGATGGCTTTTTAGATAAATATTGTTGTTAACTGATTTTTACGTGTGGATGTTTCTGTTCAGTGCCTGAGACGACTTCTGCTGTGAACTGGCACTATATAAAAAAAACTGAAGTGAACTGACACCAAAGTTCATGCTCAATAATCCAGGTTTAAAAAATCCAACAAGGATTTTTCCAACATGGTTAAATCAGGTCATCCATCCAGACAACTTGACTGAACCTCGTTGGATTTTTTCCTGGATTATGAACTTTGGTGGGGCAGCACGGTGGCACAACTGGTAGAGCTGCTGCCTCTCAGCGAGCAGGTCCTTGGTTCAAACCCCGGTCCAGGGGCCTTTCTGGGTGGAGTTTGCATGTTCTCTCCGTGCATGCGTGGGT